TCCTTAGGCCTCTCTTTCCTGTTTTTACTATGGAGCAGCCAAAAACACTGCTGAATCCACAGATTAGAAATGGTTCCCGTGATCTTCCTAATCAATTGGAGGAAAGAGAGCATATATCACAGGTGAGAATAATCTATTAATATTATTAAGGTATAAATCTATATAGTTTGAATGAATCAGAAATAATTAATTTTTAAAAATGGAGGATTGTCTATTAAGGAACCTCACTGTGAATTATATGAACTAATTCATATAATTATTCAGGGTAACACACTGGCAAATATATATTGGTTTTACATGTACTTTAGTTCCTATCTGGATAGTTATACTACGTTGTCCTATGTAATTTGGTAAGTGAGAAATTCTGATTTTTTTCTGACCAAACAATGAATTTTTTTCCTTCCTTCTCCAAGTTGACCAAGTATGTTACCCTCCATAGATCACTCCCACTGCATCTGAGGCCCTGCATCTGAGGAAAAAAAAAACCCTTCAATTTTCCTCAAAGAAAAAATAATTTGCAAGGTGTTTGGAATTTTGCAGGTGGTTGAATGGGTGTTTGAGGAAAGGAATGTGGGCTGAATGAAAGACTATTTAAATGAGATTTGAGTACACTGATTAGAAATAGAAGGTTTTGTATTGCAGCTAATGTTCAAAGCTCAACTGATTAGTGGAGAGTGGTACATGTGATTAAATGCTTAAATGGATCAGGATTTTGGGAACTATGCGGTGAAGACTTACATAAGGATGAAAAACAGATTGACCGAAAGAGGAAAACAATACCACAAAGGAACACCCATGAAATAGCTGGACTTGTGAATAATGCAGAGGTTGTCAGTGAAAAATAGCACTTTCTGCAACCTGAAAAGACATGGGGACAGGATGCCAACATGCTGGGATATCTACTGTACATTATCAATTTCCAAGGATGTTCAGTACATTTAGTATAAGCAGTTCATTCCAAAGGGATGGTAATAGAAGGTTTATCTGCACTGCCTAGTTGCCCTGGCAACTGAAAGGGGCTTCAACCACTTTTGGAGGGCAGAAACAGAAAATGTCAACCTTTACTCATCTCCCTCCCTTGACTGCCAGACACATTTTCCTAGTGCAGCTTGAAAGTAGTCTTCCTCTTGTCCATTTTGCCTGGAGTACTTTACTTCCTTGCAGGCTAACCTCAGCAGTTAATTGGCTACTTCAGAGAGGAAGCAACACCCTCTTGACTGAGGAAGTGAAACCTTTTCCCTGGAGAAATGTGAAAGAGTAGAACCCTGCACTTCCTCCTCCTTCCTTCTCTTCCTTCTCCTCCTCTTCCTTCCACCCACCCCCATTTCCAGAGACATCAACCTCATTCATACAAGGCAAATCTCTAAGCTATTTTAGCCTTGATGGTAAAGGAAGCCTTTTAAGTTATTACACCGCAAAAGGACTAGCAAGAAAGGAGATTTTGTTTTAAAGCTGTTTGCAAGTGCCTGCATATAGATGCATTTTGATGCTTTAACAAATCAATTCGAGTTCTCACTCAAGGCACAAAGGACCAGGCTGAAATTATTCTACTTTGGACACATTATGTGAAGACCTAGCTCTCTAGAAAAGACTGGGAAAGGTGGAAGGAAAGAAAAGAAGAGGACGACCACCCACAAAAGAATGGAACCAACAATTGCTTTTCTGCGGCAGTAAGGTGAGAAGGTGACCTTGGGCCAGTCACTCTTTCTCACCCCTAGGAAGGAAGCAATGGCAAACCACTTCTGAAAAACCTTGCCAAGAAAACTGCAGGGACTAGTCCAGGCAGTTGCCAGGAGCCAAAAACTGTTTCAAAGGCAAAAAAAAAAAAAAAAAAGTGGGAGGGTGCAACAGCAAAGGTATTGTCTAGTGGGGGGACCTGGTTGCCTGCAGTCCAGGCTGGATGCCTTGAAAACTGTTGCCAAAGTGTCCCAGTCCAGAGACAATTTTCTTACACAGGTTTAGACTTGATATGCATGGGCACAGAAAATGAACACCTTAAAGAGTAACTGTGGATATGCCCACAGTCAGAACTATCCTGTGAAAGAACTGGATTACAGCCTTTATCAATAATGTGTGAAATTTCTTGTATTTTGTTTTCTATGTATTCAAATAGTTAAGAAGATAATCCTCTTTTGTTTGAATGGCTAGCTAGTGGATAGATGGATTCAGTGTAATTTCTGTGACTAAACATGTAAATAATTCTTTTGCCTAGTTGACCACGTGGTGGCGGTATTAACAAAGAAATTTAGTTCTGTTCTGCTTGCTCAGTATCCGGACAGATCAAGTGATACAAAACTGAACAAGGGAATCTGACTCTTGCAGTGAAACATATACAGATTATAAGATGGCGAAACAGTGAATAAGGAAGAATTAAAAATGATTTGCAAAATTAAATGATAAAGGAAGGAAGTCAGAGAGACTGAATTTTGGGTACAATTTGATCTTACCAGGAAGAGACTGAAATCATGGAAAATTGCTTTTGGAAAAGACAAGGTCTGTATTTCCTTCTCTTTTTCTCATTCTTTAGAGTAATGTGTAGTTCCATCCGCTTTTCTGTCCCTGAAGAAAAGAAAAAGGGTTTTCTGGTGGCTAATGTGCTTAAGGATTTGAAGCTGAAAACAGGGGAGCTCTCAACACGCAAAGCACATTTAGTTTCTGATGGCACTCAGGAATATTTTCACCT